CCAAGAAGCTGACCCACGAGATAATTTCCAAGATCGTCGCAAGCACTCGTTACTTCTGGGGGGTCGGCTGAATGGTGTAAGCCACTTGGATCTGGAGAGGCAGAGAAATCGGCAATCGTCGCGATCCTGGACGGGTCTCGAAGGGCGGGGCTGCCCACAAAACCCGTTTCCATCGGGGCTTCTTTTCGTCGCCAAGACGAAGGCAAGATGAGGACCGTGGACCCATGTAAATCTGGAGATGCAGAAACCTCAAACAAGATCGGGCCGGGCGAAAGGGGGGATAGCAAAGGGGGGGGTTTGAGAATCGGCTCACGTAGCTGATTTTCACGGCGCCTCCCGGCGCCGGGAGGCGCCCATGTGTCGAGGAATGGGCCCAGCGGCGGGGCCGAAACCAGCTGCATGCACCAGACTTCGTACCCCCACCTTTCCCTGTCCCCCCATTTCGTTCGGTCCGACATTAGCAGTCGCAGCGATCCTTGTCGCACCTCGAGGGGCCGGGCTGCCCCGGTGCTCACACGCCGCCGGCGCCGCAGGCCGCGCCGCGAGCTCCATGCCCGGGCGGCGCGACCCGCAGCCATGCCGCGCGGGGGGGCGGCTTCGCGGTGGCAGGGGCGGGGGCCTCTCGTCCACGGGCCGCTGCCGCCCTCAAGCGATCCAAGGAGGACGGAGAGCTCGAAACAAGACACCGTCTGTACACCGAGCCAGGGCCCAGGAAGTGCCTGGCCAGGGCTGGTGGTGGTGCGTAGTTGGCGTTCCTCTGGAGAACGGAGGGGCAGGAGGAGGAGAGGATCACGCCGGGAGAAGAAGGAGGAGGGGGAGGTCTCCATGGCCATTCTGGCTCAAGCCGCCTGCCCCATGCTTCTCGGGCACACGGGACGCCACGGTTTCGGGCGCCACCTACGCGCGGCGGCCTCTCGCGTGCCGCCCACGACATATTTACCGACCGTGAATAAGCCGCATGATCATTCCCAAGGAGGTTGGAAATGGCGACCTTGCGACGGCAAATGCGCTCATGCCGCACTCTCGAAAAAAACACCAGAACTACGATCAACATCAGCAGCACGTACAGTCACCAGTGTAATCATTAGTGCAAACATGGTGGTCAGTACAATAATCGATTCAATCCAGGTGGGCAGCCCAAATCGCATTCAGTAGAACCCTAGTAGGCTGGCCTAGCATTAGCAGTACAATCGCTGTAGGCAGTATCAGCGCCAATCCTTCCAGGCATTATGGCCAACACGATGATCAATCACGTGGAGCCCCAGTAAATCAAGAAAGCGGCGGGTACGTGATCGACGAATCCACATCTTACGCTAACACTGCGCCACACAAATGCTGAAAGCACTGTGACAGGGCACTCTGAGGGCACTCGGCACGATTCACAAGCACATGGTGGGCGTCGGCTCCGCGATCATTACCAGCACAATCCTGGTTGGCTCGTATCACTGCCGATCATACCCAGCGTCTCCATGACTACAGCAGGAGGCACCAAGGCACCAGATTCTGCACCACCACGTGCCCCCCACTAAGCTAAACCACGTTCACCCACGACAGGAAAGGCCGCAACCACAACAAGGGCAACCAGCAACGACAGCCAAGGCAGAGACGGCAGCCACAACCAGCCACGCGCAACCACGGCAACGACGGCCAGGCGGCCAGGACAACCAGCGACGAACCACCACGACAATCACGACAACCATGGCAGCAAGGCCAACGACTCCAACAAGCAAGCACACCACGACGGCTACCTCGACAAGCACCGCGGGGCCAGCTACTAGCCGCGCCAGCAACAACAACCACGGCCAGCCACGCCATTCACAACCAGCCATGACAACCACGAGCAGCCAAAACAGACACGACCAAGAACGACAGGCACGACAGCCAAAACCTTAACGATCGCTACCTACGGCAGCCACGACAAATAACGACCACCGCAGCAAGATAGAATCTAGCAACGGCCAAAACAGCCACGACAACAACGACCAGCCACGACAGCCGAGACAACAACGACAGTCACAACCGACCACGACAAACCACAGTGATCACCACGACAGCGGCTGACGACAGCCACGACCAGCTGCGACGCCAACACAGCAACAACCAATCAAGAGAAACACGACTACACGGCAGCCACGAAGTCAACCGCGACCAAGACCACAACGGGCTGCCGGATCACTAAGACGGCAACGGCCACCAGCTACCACAGTCAGGAACGACAGCGACGACAACCACGACCAGCCACGACGCACACGCCAGCCACGGCAGGCTACGACAGCCACGACCAACCAAAACAGCAACGACTAAGCACGACAGCCACAGAGCCACAGTGCTCCGACCATTCACGGCAGCCAGGGCAGCGACCGATAGACAGGACGGCCACCGACTGCAGCGACGATAGGGTGCGACAGCCACTCACAGAACCAAGGCCAACGTCAAGCACCAAAGACAACCACCCACCGACGACAACCAGCGAAGACAACCACAACCAGCCACAGAAGCCACGACCAGGGCCTCGAACAACGACAGCGACGACCAGCTACGACTGCAGCAAAACGACGGACACGACAGCAACGGCCACGACAGCCACTAGAACAATTACCAGTTACGACAGCCACAGTAGCCACGGCCAGCCACGACAGCCACGACTACTACGACCAGCCACCACCCACGGCCATTAACAATCAACATCCCCGACCGATAAGGCCGACATGCAAGCCTACCAAGACGCACGGGACAACCATTTACAATTCTCGTCGCCCGCTATATCCTCAACACCCGTCCTCAGGCAAAAGGGACCGTCGTTTGATGACATACCCAATGCACGTTGGATAGACAGCCACAAACGCCTTTTATCCGCCGGCCCCCCTGTGGGGCGACCAGGCGCCGCGGCTTAGGCTTGCTACCCCCTGCTCCAGTTCAAATTTCAAGTCTCCCATGTTATAGTTGCCCTACGTGCTACTTCCTACTGCAAATTTTTGAGGTCCGCGCGAGGGGGAGAATCCCAAAATCGTCAAATGTTTGCCACGTCCGAAGCGCGTGGTCCGAATTCCTGCGGGGCCGTGGGACACGTAGAAATATATCAAATTCGCGCCCCTGAAGCAATGATCCCACGTGAACTACCCAGTAATCGCGCCCCTGAGGCCACGATCAGATGCAATTTGACAATAGCCGGTCGCGTCTCCGAGCCCACGATCCCCAATAAATTACATAATATCCGCGCTCCTGAAGCCACGATCCCTGGTAAATTCTACCATATCCGCGTCCTCGAGGCCATGAGCTTTTGCAAATTACCCCGTAATTGCGTCACCGAAGCCACGATCCCCCATAAATTACGCAGCGCTCGCGTCCCCGAGGCCACGGTTTTCCGTAAATTATACGAGATTTGTGTCGCCGAGGTCACGATCTCCGTAAAGTTTACAAGGTTCGCATCCTCGAGGCCACTATCCTTTTTGCACATTGCTCCATACTTGCGTCCTCGAAACCAGATCCTAAGCCGCTTATGTAAATTACTCATACTTGCATCATCGAGGCCACGATCCCCCGAAAATTACTCAAGATTCGCGTCCACAAGGCTACAGCCCCTCGCAAATTACGCACTATTCGCATCGCCGAAGCAACGATCCCCCGTAAATGATTCAAGATTCGTGTCCCCGAAGCCAAGATCCCTTAAAAATTACGCCATACTTGCGTCCTCGAAGCCGTAATCCTTTTGGAAAGTACGCGATGTTCGCATCCTCGAAACTATAAACCATTGTAAAGTATACAGTGTGTGCGTCACCGAGGCCGGAATCCCCTGTCGATTACGCAAGATTCGCGCCCCCGACGCCACGATCTCTTGTAACTTACGCAATGCTCGCGTCTCCGAGGCTACGATCCCCCGCAAATTCTTGAATCATCGCGCCCTCGAGGCCAACGATCCCCCGAAAAGTATACAGATTCGCGTCCTCGAAACCATGATTATTTTGTAAATTACGCTGCGCTCGCGTCCCCGAGGCTAAGGCTTCGATACTCGCGTCCCGAAGACACGATTCAGCAAGTTCGCAGCGGGAGCCGTCAGAATCCGAGAGTTAAATTGTTTTTTGTGTGCAAGCCGTAACGTACGATATTGGCCCTCGCGTGAAGCTTCGGCATTGCTTTACGACGGCACCATCGCATCCCAACGTAGCTCGAGTATGCCCCATTCTAAGAGAGATGGAACTGGCGGCAGTGAGCAAAGCCCTTACTGATAACAATTCTCTAAATGCATAGGACGGCACCGAAATTAACGAAAGAGAAAACAGTGTGTGTGTGTGTTTGCGTTGCTGGAACATTCTATAACTGCGACAGCGCGAAGCAAGCTCCACACGCACACAACCACGACGACCACGACTACCACCACGGGCAGGAACAGCGCCATAACCACTACAAGCAGCCCTACCCGTACGACCACCACAACGACCACCACAGCGACGACGACGAGACGCCCAACCACCACCAAGACCACAACGTGCAGGATCCCCCGTAAACACGAAGAAGCCAAAATGATGGATGTCCCTATGGTGCTGGATGTCCAGTCTCTCCTTGTTTCAGGTTTCCGCCAGTTCAAGGCGACCCCAGAGGCCGCCTAGATGGCCCACCACGACCCAAGGTCTCCAGATAGCCCGAAAGGCCTCCAAGACGGTGCCTCAATGGCCCGAGGCCCAAATACGACCCAATCAACCCGTAAGACGATCCTTCAGAGCCCCGAAAGGGCTCCCAGACGGCCCCAGGAGGCCCCAAGACTGACTCCGAAGGCGCCAGAAAGCCAAAGAGCGCCCTAAGATGACCGACAAAGCGGACCAACCCTTGCATGTCCCCCTCCTCCTCCACCTCGTGCCCCCCTCGTCGCCATCCTCGCCGTCCAGGTCCCTCATTGTCGTCCACCTTGTCAGCGTGCTCCTCTCTAATCCTCCTCATCCGTTTCCTCTTCTTCCTTCCTCTCTTAATTCCACAAACCCTTCTCGTCCTCCTCCGAGGATGGCGCGCGGCCCGCAGCGTCTTGGGGCTGTAGTCGTCTGCCCGGTCCTTGCCAGGCCGCGTCTTGACGGAGGTGTCCCTCGGAAGCAGGAGGCCCGAGGGGAGGAATGCTAAAATGGGGACGAGGGGGGAGGGAAGGAGGCAGAGAAGGAAGATGAAATGGGGGAGGGGGAAAAGGGGGGAGAAAGAGGACGGTGGAGGAAAGGGCGGATGAAGAGGGGACGTAAAACGTGGAGCGGGAGAGGAAGGAGGGGGAGGTATAGAGATTCGAGGAAAAGGTGGCGAAGGGAAGGAAGATGAGAAGGACGAGAACGAAGGTAGTGAACAGGAGGAGGAGCATGAGCGGGAGGAGGAAGAAGAGGATGAGGAGGAGGATAAAGAGGTAGGGCAGGCAAAAGGCGGGGGGGAAACGTTGAGAACGAGGAGGGAGGCGCCACATCAGCAGACATGTCACGACTGCGGGAATGGGCGCGCAGCACCGTAGCGCAAAACTGGTGGTATCGAGGAATCCGTCTTCAAGTGCAGACCGCTGTTCGGCAGGTAGAGGCAAAAGATGCCAACATTGACGTTTTGCGTCGAATACTTGTGATTGTCGACTGATGCAAATGTCATCGCCACTATCTTCAACGTTGTTGGAGTCTGCGCGTGATTGGACAACTGTTGTCGCTCCAACAACCTCTCAACCCGAGATTCAACAACCACTTGCAATTGGTCGCCGTGAGTGCTAGAAGCTGCCGCAGACGAGATCACCGACTCGACGTCCACTTGTCGCTACACTGGTCGTCTGCCAGATCCCATGATCACGCGTAGCATCCTGCACTGGGTTGTTCGCGGTGCGTATCGTAACTCTGCGAAGCAATTAAGACTCCCCTGCGTTATCGTCAGCACCGCCACGGAAATAAATTATCCGGGGGGACGGATTCAGCGTAGCACCTCAACAACCAACAACACATAAATGAGGATTGCCCCATTCATTCGACCGCAAGTAATGCCGGGCGAAATGGAAACCATGGTGCGCTAACATTCCTGACGTCGCACGAGGATTTTAAGACATCGACGACAATGATGATAACACCTGTGAAGTTGAACTCGCTGCAACGATACCTGAACCTGCTTTCTTTCTCTCTCTCCCGATCCTGTTCGCTGTTGGGCATATCATTTTATTTGGTTGATGATTAAACCTTATATTGGAACGTCGATTTGTTCGGCCCTCACGCGGGTAGTCCAATCTGAAACTTCGTCCCTCCTTAGCACCAGAAAGATCTCTTAGCACCCAGCAACAAATAACTCCTCTGGCCCGTCCCAGAAGAATGTGTGAAGATTCCTCGGATGAATCTACCCTGAGACCTGAATGTGTAATACCACCTACAACCAACGAGTCCTACCAGGCCTCTCAGGGCAACCTGAGGAGGCCAAGGGGGAGAGATGCGCTTTGACGGCCGAGAGCCCGAGAGCACAACCACATCCAAGGCGACGACGAGCACGCTGGCGGGGCCATGACTGGCTGGACATCAAAATGCGCGCGGGGCTTCGCCCGATTTGTGCTCGCCGCTTGTGCTGTCGGCGGAGCCTCAGCGGCGAGCTGACATGTGATGTTTCATGTCGGCACAACTCTCGCACGCTTCGTAGCCCACTCGGGAAGTCCCGTGATGGCCCGTGGCCCCGCTCGCATGGCGCCGCTGCGCCCGAGCGGGGTCCTTACTGGACCACGTGACAAGATGGCTCCAGGAGCCAGAGGGCGCCAGATGCCAGACACCGCTTCAGGGTGCAGGCTGTTTTTTCGTTTAACCGGATGGGGGGGGTCTCCATTGCTTCACAAGGTCAGTGCCTTCGTAACCGTCCAGCTGGAGGAGCCGTACATTACCACAGGGACCACTACGCTGTCGAAAAGGCGAAGGCAGCTTGTCAAAGTGCACCGCTTGCACATTCATTGTTGATTCCGATTTGTGCGGCACGAATGCTTCCCGGGATTGGCGATCCGGTGCTCGATATCATATTTTGCTCAGGCTCCACCTCCCAACAGTCTGCCCAAGTACCTCAATATTTGTCTTCAGCTCTCACGGATTCAATGCCCACGCATTGCCTTCCTCGCCAGACTGGCGAAGATTTTCGCCGTCTGGATGTAGCTGAAGGCCAACTGCACCAGCCCGCTCGTGTACAAAAGCAAGAGTCTGCTTGATATGATAAAAACGTGTTACTGGGTAGAGGAACTTCGCTGGCGAAACGAATGTGACTCATTCGACAGAGGATGGGAGAAGGTGGAAGAGGGAGGGGAGGAGGTGGAAGGTAGGATATCGGAACAATGAGCAGATATGCCCTCATGACCTCCAGCAAGAATCAATCTCCAAAGGGGATCGAGGCAGGCGGATCCCTGGCTGGCCTACCTCTCCAAGGCAAAAACCATGGAGCGGCACCTCGTCCTCCTCCTTCTCCTCCTCCTGTCATCAACATCAGTATCACCACTACCATCATCAACAGCAATGCCATCATCTATAGGATGATGATGATGCTGATGATGCATGATCAGCAGCAGCATCAGCATCATCAGAATCATGAACATCATCATCATCATCATCATCATCATCATCATCAGAATCGTCACCATCATCATCGTCAGCATCGTCACCATCACCATCATAATCAGCATCATCACCCGAATCATCCTCAACATTACCATGACCAAATGTAAAGTCATCGTACTCATCATCACATTCATCATTCCCATCATCCTCATCAACACCATCATCGGCATCACCATCACCACCAGCATCATCATAACCATCAAACTCAACATCATGACCATCATCATCAGCAGCAGGATCGATGTCATCGTCATCATCACTGTCATCATCAGCATCAGCATCATCAGCATCATCATAAACGTTACTTACGCAGGACGAAAGACTTCCCTCTTGAGGTGCATATGGCGATTTCCTCAATAGAATCTTAACACGGGCGGTTTCCGGGGTCCGAGGATCCGACTTTCTCTGGATCCCCGTTGTCATAAATAATACACATTTAAAGCGGGATAAAAATCGGATGCGCCATAAAAAAGGACCGAACACGGATCCAGCAAATCCGAAATCGGATCCGCGCGGACGGAAATCGGATCCACCGAAACAAACACCAAAACCACACTTGGATCCGCGCGAATGTCATGGGATCCGACGGCGGTCATCTTACACGCGTCTGCTCAAGATTTCAAGCAGTCGTTCCGGGCCCGAGAGGGAAAACTTTCGTCCTGGGGATGTATCATCACCACCATCACCATCATCATCATCATCATCAGCATCATCATCAGCATCATCACCATCGTCACCGCCATCGCCATCCTCATCAGGACCATCGTCATCACCATCAACATCATCATCATCATCATCAAAAACATCGCCATCGACAACATCATCATCACAACCATCATCGTCTTCATCACCATCATCAACATCATCGTCGTCATCATCGCCGTCGACAACATCATTATCAGCATCAGCATCAGCACCATCAGCATCATCAGCAGCAGCATCATCCATACCAACCTCATCAACATCATCATCATCATCATCAGCAGCAGCATCAGCATCGCATCCGCATCGTCAGCAGCAGCATAGTCATCATCATCAGTATCATCGTCATCGTCGTCGTCATCAACATCGTCATCATCTTCATCACCACCACCATCATCATGTCATGATCACGGGCATGATCATCATCACCACCACCGTCATCGTCAGGCGCTGTCCGTGGCAGCCCCCGCAGTTCCTCTGAAGACGTGGGCAGACGCGGCAGTCACACGGGTAGAGTGTTTCGTTTTTACAAGTGGGTTCTCGCTGAGGATGAGAGTAGCGGACGGATCCATTTCAAAACGGGCCTCTCGCCTGATTGACGGCAGGCAAAGTGGGCGCTCGTCTTTCATAGGTGAGTTTCCAGCAGCGAACGGATCGTTGACTAGAACCATCGCGCGCACTTCGCGCGCGCTCAATTGCTACTTGTCATAAGGCCTAGCAGATAAGGCAGTGCGAAAGAGAGGTACAGGCCAACTCGTTCGCTGTTGAAAACGCTATGTTGGGTTTTGACCATGGTGGCGGGTGCACAGCTAAGTATCAGTGCACACGCGTGCAAACAAATGCATGCAGACATACACTCATAGATTCATATGCACATATGAAACCAGGCCAGCACCATTTAATCATCCACCGTGCCCTGAGGCACGAATTGGAATGTCCTCAGGTCTTCGGCCTAATCCCGTCAGCCTCAATCCAGAATCCTGGAAAGCATTCAAGTCGGGCGCCTCACTTCGCGCTTCGCGCTGCGCGAGGCGCGAATAACTTCGCGCTCTCGCGCCGCCCCCCCAGAGAGAAGAGGAGAATAAGAAGGAATCCGCCGACGCCTTGGGTCATCGGCGTGTGAGATGCTTCCCCCTCCCCAAACCCCTCCCCCGGGAACCCGGTCCGGTCGATTTGGCGGGGGGGGGGGCCCACCACGAGCGACTCACGACGCTCTTCCGGGCCCAAGAGGGCCCAAATACGGGCCAAGAACGCCCCAAGAGACCTCCCAGACGTTCCAAGAGGCCCCCAGACGCCCCAAGAGACCGCCTAGACGCCCTAAGAAGCGCCCAAGAGGCCCCAAGAGGCTTCCAAGACGCCCCACGAGGGCTCCAAGACGCCCGAAGAGACCTCCAAGACGCCCCAAAAGACCTCCAAGAGGCCCCCGAGGAGCGCCCCAAGAGGCCAAAATCGTTGATTTTCATTGTTTGTTTTTAACAATGTTTTCATCCTTTTCGCCTTTTCGGCCTTCCGACGCTCCAAGACAGCCCAAGAAGCTCCCAAGACTGCCCAAGACGGCACAAGAGGCCCCCACGACGCCCCCAAGACGGCCCAAGAGAGCCCCCAGACGGCCCAAGAGCCGCCCAAGGGCGGCCCAAGAGAGCCCCCAGACGGCCCAAGAGCCGCCCAAGACGGCCCAAAAACCTCCCGGAGACGGGCCCAAGAGGGGTTCCAGAGAGAGAGACGCGCACCGGAAAACCCAGCCTTACGCCCCAAGAGGCCCCCAGGAGGCCCCAAGAGGCCCCAAAGAGGCCCCAAGAACCCCCCAAGAGGCCCCCAAGACGTTCCAAGAGGCGCCCAAGAAGCCACAAAGAGGCCCCAAAACGGCCCCCAAGAGCCTTCGAAACTGCTCCAAGAGGCCCGCAAGAAGCCCCCCCGCAAGATCCCAACGGACATCTCCGAACACACCGGTTTTTCGAGTCGCGCCCAGCCCCATAACCCGGAGCCTCATCTCAGTGTCCCCCTCCTCCTCCTCCTCTTCCTCCTCCTCCTACACTTTCTCCTCGTTCCCCTCCTCCTCTTCCTGCCCCGCTTCAGCTCATCCTCACCGATGCTTCTCCCCCCCATTTCCCGCCTCACCCCCCATCCTCCTCTTCCCGCCCTCCCTTTTCTGCCCAGCACGCGCAACCGATTGGGCATCACTTGCACGTCTTGCACTTTAGGGTGCCCTTCTTTGCGTCGCGCGGGACATTGTGCGGGTCGGGGAACGCCGACTTTGGTAGTCCTCTCTTGCACGCGCCGCTGCACTGATAAGCCTGGCAACTGCGCGCTGTGAACCCGAGTTCCTCGCAGCTTCTGCACACCACTTTAGCTCCTTTCGCCGCTCGATGATGTTCCACTTGCTTCTGCTTCAAATGTTTCGTGTTCGAGAACGCGCCTTTGCACGCCGCGCACGTCAGCGGCTTCGCGTCCGCCTCTGCTTTCCGCTTGCGATTCTCTGCATCCGCCTTCTCGTTCCGCCCACCCTTCTCGTTGCGGGCGCACGCCCTGCAAAGCCTCTCCCCCGCATCTTTCGAGTCGTACTGGTTCGCCGCCACTTCCGCCTCCGTCTTCAAGAAATTCTTGCACTTCGCGCACCGACTCTTGAATTTCTCCTGAACCTTCTCCTGCCGCGCCGCCGACTCCTTCCGTGACTTCCGCGCCGTCGCGGGCCCCGCGCATCTCTCGCACTTGCTCGTGAGATGCTTCCCCCTCCCCAAACCCCTCCCCCGGGAACCCGGTCCGGTCGATTTGGAGGGGGGGGGGCCCACCACGAGCGCGTCACGGGGCTTTTCCGGGCCCAAGAGGGCCCAAAGACGGGCCAAGAAGGCCCCAAGAAGCCTCCCAGACACCCCACGAGGGCCCCGAGACGCCGAAAAATCGTTCGAAGACGCTCAAAATGGCCTCCAGACGCCCCAAGATGCCTCTAAGACGCCCCAAGAGGCTTCCAAGAGGCCTCCCAAGAGGCCCCAAAAGGCGAGAATCGTTGATTCGCATTGGTTTTTTCAATGTTTTTGGCTTTCTCACCTTTTCGGGCTTCCGACCCTCGAAGACGGCCCAAGAGGCCCCCAAGACCGCCCCAAGACGGCCCAAGAGGCCTCCAAGACGGCCCAAGCAGGCCCAAGACGGCCCAAGAGGACCCCAAGACGGCCCAAAAGAGCCTCAAGACAGCCCAAGAAGGCCCCAAGAGAGCCCCAAGGCCAGCCCAAGAGGGGCCCAAGAGGGAGACCACGAAGCGAAAAAACCAGCTTTCCGCCCCAAAAGGCCCCCAGGAGGCCCCAAGAGACCCCCAAGAGGCCCCAAGAGGCCCCCAAGCGGCCCAAAAAAGGCCACAATAAGCCCCAAAACAGCTCCCCAGGTGCCTCCAAACTGCCTCCAGCAGGCCCCCGAGAGGCTTCTCACGAGATCCCAACGAATATCTGAGAGGCCTCTGAACCACAACTCAGGCACGGTGGCGGGATGGGCCGACTACTGGGAGGAGGAGCAAAGACGACGACGATAGGAATGCGGAGGATAAAGTCGGGCCATGACGCCCCCAAGACGTCCAAGATTGCCTCCAACAAAAAAAACAAGGGGTCGGCGGTGTGGCGTAAGCCTAAAGAATCAGAGCCAAACCACGAAGCGCGAAGCGCGAATAACTTCGCGCCCTCGAGGGCGCCCTTGTTAAGTCCTCCTCCTTCTCCTCCTCCTCCTTTTCCTCCTCCTCCTCCTCTTCCTCCTCCTCCCCACCCCCTGACTAGGGGCGGCACCGGGAGATGGCGTCGTACACCGCCTGGGGCCGCGCGCCGCGGGGTCGGGAGGCGGGGACCCAGGTCAGGAGGGCCAAAGCATCAGGGATAGGGGGGTCTTTTTTGCAAATGTATCAAACCAAACCGCCCAACATTGCTTATCCCTCGTGCGAAGACGGGGACCTCAGTGAGGCGACGTCTTCATCGTGCTCTTATGGTTGGGGGCTTGTGTTCTCGATGAATGGATAAGGGAAATCGAGGGTGACATGGCCGCGCGACGAGACACGACGATGCTGGGCCGACGGCAGGCCAGAAGCTTGGCGGGTCCGAGGGGACCGGGCCACAGGAGACGCCGAGGAGCGGGCGGAGCGAGCATAAGCGCGAGGGAACGAAGGAGGTGGAGGGAAGGGGTGCAGGGCAGGGCGAGGGGTAAGGAGGGGAATGGGGCGCAAATTCGGATAGGGTGCGATACATGAGAAAGGTGCCCTCTTCGGGCTTTACAGGTTCCCTCTGGGGCCCGAAAGGGCTCCTTTAGGGGCCCTACAGGGCCCCTTTTTCTACAGCCCTCGCTGCACCCCCATGTCTCGCCACCCCATTACGCGCACCCCAAGGGAGATGACGAGAGACGAACGCCGGATGGGCGCGTGCCCCAAGGGGGAGCCCAATCGTGCCCAGCAGGTCATGGCGAGGAGGCCGTAGCTGCAGTCGAAGAGACTGACTCCTCTTCCAGTTTTGCGAGCAGACACGCGAAGCCGAAAACGTTCTACAAGACGGCTCTTTGCGGAGCACGGCGGGAGTGACGGGGCGCCTCTAAGCGCTCGCACGTCCAAGGGGGGAGCGAGGGTGGCCCCAGGTAAGACGAAGCCAAGACTAGGATAAATTCGAGTGAGGGGATAAACCAAACCAGACTCTGAGGTCTGGCGGCTCTGGAGGATGTCTCGGGCGCCGCGGCCTTCTCAGAGCGTTGCGGATCGCTCTGAGAGCGTTCCCGAACGCTCTGGAACGGATTTATCCTCGTCCTAGCCCCGTCCGATCTGAGCCCCCTCGGCGTCTAGCCGCTCCCACTCGGCCACCAAAAGAGCCGCACTCGAAAACGGAGAGCGCCTCTCTTCTTGTCGAGAGCGTCGGCGGCGCACCGGCACGCGGCCAAGAGAGAGAGAGAGAGAGCTCCGCTCCTCCGAGAAACGCGGGCGGAGTGAGACGATGGGCAAGAGGAGGTGGAGAAGGAGAAGGAGGACGAGGAGGAGAGGGAGGAAGGGGAGGAGGAGGAGGAGGAAGAGGAGGAGGATGGAGGAAGGGGAGGAGGAGGAGGAGGAGGAGGAGGAGGAGGAGGAGGAGGAGGAGGAGGAGAAGGAGGAGGAGGGGGAGGGAGGAGGAGGAGGAGGAGGAGGAGGGGAGGAGGAGGAGGAGAGAGGAGGAGGAGATGGAGGAGGAGGAGGAGCAGGAGGAGCAGGAGGAGCAGCATGAGGAGGAGGAGGAGGAGGTCGAGGAGGAGGAGAAGGAAAGGAGCCCGGCCCCCAGCCCCCCCGCCAGCGATGCCTCGCTGCTGGGACGACGAGGGGCGGGGCGATTGCTTCAGCCGTCGCCAGGCTGACTACCCTTAACACGCGGAAGCGACCAAAGACACGGCTTACAGTGAGACCACGAGAGATCTGTCTTCCTGCAGCACCCCCCTGCCCCTTACCGTATAAGCCGAACAAGAAGCTCTGAAAGAACCCCATGATGTTTTTCATGCCATGGAGCATAGTGTCACCAAACGCTACGATACATGAACCCAGATATCCGTGGGAATTACTGCAAGGTCTGGGAGGCTCGAGCAGGAATCGTGCGAGAAAAGCAATAACTCACCGGGTCACCGTAAGCCACCTCGAGACATGGAATACTTAAGCCAAAATGGCTACGGAGCCTCCTCCTCCTCCTCCTCCTCCTCCTCCTCCTCCTCCTCCTCCGCCTCCTCCTCGTCCACCACCACCTTCGCCTCCTCCTCCTCCTCCTCCTCCTCCTCCTCCTCCTCCCTCCTCCTCCTCCTCCTCCTCCTCATGCTCCCACTCCCCTCCTTCTCCCCCCAAAGAGCGGAGAAGAGAGGCCTGCTCCCTGTCCGCCATGGACTCGTGGCGCTGGCCGCCCTGGGGGAGGGGGGTGCGTGGGGCAGGCGCTGCTCGCGACCCCCCGCGGCGTGGCCGCGGCGGCCAAGGGGGACCGCGCGGAGGGGGAAGCTCAGAGGATGAGGAATCGCCAGAGGGGGGGGGGGTAATGGGGCGGAATGGACCCCGTCGCGGCGCGGTACGAAACGGCGCGAACTACGAGGGCTTAGCTGGGTTCGACGAAACCCGATCCTTGGGCTGCCCAGCCCTAAGATGTGCAAGATATCTCCGGCGGGTGGCCGTCAACGGCCGCGAGCAGGGAAGGGGGGAGGGAGTGGGAGGGAGGGCGGGAGAGAGGGTCCTGCAATCAGCAGCTCACGGCGCCAACGTGGCCCTGGACGGGGCTGCACGTCTGCGGCATCGGAGCTCGCACCGCATCACGTCGAGCAGCCTCGAGCAGAACGAGGAACTCTCGCTGCAGCGTGCGAAAGGATGGGAGGGAGGGAGGGAGGGACTTGTTTGGCCTTGGACGCGGTTTTAGCAGTGACGTGTCAGCAGAGGCTGGCACGCAACTCGCAGAATACGAGTGAGATGGCAACTCTGCACGGGCAGCGAGGCAGGGAGGATGGAATGGAGGATGAGGAGTCGCCACCCTCGACTCTCAACCAGCATGAAGGAACTGGGTTCTGAAGGCAAGGGCCCTGTAAATGGTTCGCTGTTTTCCGGCCGCCGGAGCCCTCCGCGGGCCCCTGGACCAGCTCACCTCGGGACGAAGAGCTGGCCCTGGGAAGAGTCCCCCAGGGGGCCAGAATCCGCTTCCCCCGGGACCCCTTTCCTGCATGGCAAGCCCGAAGAGTGAATGAAGGATCACCTTCGTCGATCCTCGAGCCTCGACCCTCGAGGATAGAGGATCTCCACCCTCGATCCGCGAGGAGGGAGCCACTACTGAGGTCGACCCTCGACCCTCGAAGGCATGGAGCCGACCCTCGGTCCTCGAGGAGGGCCGACTACACACCAGACCACCCCAAACGAACCCGCAGACCCAAAATTCGAGTTGGGGAGGGTACGGGTTCCATGTGGTTTCTCAATGTTCCCGACGCCTCTCCCCACTGGAAATGTAGGGCAAATCGGGGCACGCCATCCTCGATCTTCAAGGACGGTGTTCTCGCCGCGGGTCATGCCTTGATGGTCCAAAGGCCTGGAGAGAACCCCTGAGGCGAAATCGTAAAAACGCACGTCGCGACCTGTTCGCGACGCCTGGAGGTCGGAGATAAACGCTTCCGTCGGAACCACCTCTGCCAAAGCGGACCTCTCCTGGGGCGCGTTCTGACCGGGAGATCGAGGGCAATCTGGCCGTGGTGCCTAGAGTTCACCTGGAAGCAACGAGAACTCCTAGCGTCTAGCGTCCAAATCCCTTCCTCTCCACCTCCTGCCAGAGGCCTCTGAAGTCCGAGTCCCCGGAAGTCCCTGGAAGCCTCGGGGGGAGCCTGGAAGCCCAAAAGAGCGAAAAACGTCCTCGCGTAACCATGACATTTGATCCGCGATGCTCATCATCCCCCTCCTGCGCCTCCTCCCTCTCTCCGCCCTCCACCTCCACCCCTAGTCTGCAAAAACGCTGCATCATCGCCGCAGCACCAAAAAGATCGGTATGGAGCAATGACTGGTCGCGCGGTCCAAGCGGGGAGTCCTCGCCGCTTGCAACTATATAACATCCGAGGACTACACAAATGGAGGGCGAGCCGCACTGACAATGTTGCTCTTGCCCTAGAGCCGCACGCACCCGTCTCAAACGAAACCCACAAGAGGAGGGTGGGCAAATGACGCACATTCGCCCTGAAATGCTCCAACCGCTACAAGGATGGATGGCAGCTCGTGTTCAAAATGAAAGTATGTCATAGGGGCGCCCTCCAAAATGACAACGTGTAGCATGTAGAAACAACTAGACGGATGGAAGGCGGTTAATTCTAGACGCTTCGCATATTCCCACCAGCCTCGTTCTGCGCGTATCTGCCATCCCGCGCGCTGTGTCCCAGCCTCGTTCTTACCGCCCTCTGGACTTTTCCTTGCGGGCCGCGAATCAAAAAAGTATCCCCACCAGCCCGTCCAGAAATGAGTCCCAGGGGAGTGGAGGTTATGAGGGAAACGGGGGAGCATGCAGAAGAACAAAGAGCGGGGTGAGCCGCCATATACCCCAAGAGGGGGAGGATGTAGGAGGAGCCGTCGTCGTCGGAGTAGGAGGAGGAAGAGGAGGAGCAGGAGGAGGAGCAGGAGCAGGAGGGGGAGGAGGAGGCGGAGGAGGAAGATGAGGAGGAAATGGAGGAATGCGAGGACGAGGAGAACGAGAAGGAGGAAATGGAGAAGGAGGAGGAGGAGGAGGGGGAGGGGGAGGGAGGAGGAAGAGCTGCTCGTCGACGCGCGGCTCGTTGGGAACAAGTGTTTTGAACAAACATTTCTGAAAGTTCTGGGCCAAAGTCACGTCACCAGCGCCCGCCTCATCGACGTGAGCAAAGAGGAGGCGGCCGGGGTGCGGAACCCAACAGGAACTGTCGCACGGCGCAAATAGCCGAGACACTATGGTCGCGCCGCCCGTTGAAGGTCAGGCCCATATCAGCGCGCACTCTGACGTCGGAGGCCCACGTCTGGTAGGCTCCCAGGGCGAGGATATAATCAATCCGATGGGCTGCGTTCGCGGCATGGTACCACGCGGGCTCAACCCCGGAGAAGGCATCGAGGGCGACGAGGTGCAGTGTCTCTGCGAGGATGCGCAACGACGCGCCGTTCTCGTTCTCGCGGCCAGGACAGGCAGGCCCGAAAGCTTCCGACGGCACCTTTCCAACCTTAGCGTTCGCATCGACGGCGATGAACCAGGAGGCGTCGGGGAACCGTGCCCTGAATCCGAGCACAGTATATGACTACCACCAAGATCGAGAACAATCTACGATGCAAGTTTGTGCAGCTTTGCTCTGGTGGTAAGCCCGCAACCCCCCTCCCGCCGCCAACGGTAACCGAGCTGCCCCCTCTCTCTTAAGGACCGAAACAGAATTCATCAAAGCACGCGCGGTAGTGGTGTATACAACTTTGGTTACCAAGTGGAGCGATTCTTATACACCATCACCAAGAAGTGCTGTTTCTGCTGCAAGAACTCCCCATGCCACGGCGCCTGCGAGCTGCGCCGCGCTCCTTTTCGCCGTAGCGTCGCAGCGTCGTCTGGCATGACCCTTGTCCAAACCCTTTTTACGAGCAATTACACTTGCGGGCGGTGGAGGTATAAAAAATAGCGTCGCGCTGAAGTCGACAGCGGTCGAAGTAAGGTCCGTCCAGAATTCGAGGGGCTCGTCCACGCTTGCGCAAGAGGTGGGTGCGCGCGCGGAGAACCACACGTGCACGGCGCAGTCGCGGGAGACGCTGATCGCGAACAGCATGCGAGGTGAGCAAGCACGCCATTGAACGACATGATGGCCCAATTCACGATCAAGCCAGAGCTGAACCCCGAGGGCTCCGTCACTCGTCGCGGGAGAAGTGAACATCATGCAGTAGACACCCTCCCGAATCATTGCCTGGCATGCGCGACCCTCGTGGAGGCCGATCGCCTCGAATCCATGCTGCCGAAATTGTCGTTCAAGGATCTGTGCCTTGCCGCTCATGAGGGGCAGGGATGTTCGGTAGTAGCTGCAACCCTCCTGGTGGGGGTGGAGCGTCTGCACGCTCGCGGTCGCGACCCTCAAGGTGGCGACAGGGGCGTCGTCCGAGACCAGGGTCCCAAGTCGCGGACGAGCAGCGCGGCCTCGGCCCACGTAGCCGGCGGGGGGTCGGCGAGCAGGGCCATCGAGCTGACGGCCACGAGCGGCCCACCGTGTAGCTCGAGTGCGACGGCGTTCCAGGTGAGGAAGTCGAGATGCAGCTGGGCCGCGGGAGTGGCAATCCCACTGGGCAAGGGCCCGCGCCCCATCTGCAGGGGGAGGGGACGTCCACAGCGGCATCGTGGTCGCAGTGGCGCCAGCGCCGAGCTGTCGCAACGGCGGCGGCGGTGCGGCGTTGGTGCGGCGCGAGGACGTCAGCGGCGGTGTCGGTGTCGTAACGGCGCTGACCTCGCGTCGTAACGGCGGCGGCTGCGGCTGCGGCGTCGTCGCGGCGGCGTCGACGCCGCGCGCCCCCACGTAGACCAATCTCGAGGCTGAGGCGCCCAACCTGCATGGGCGCAGCGCTGCACAATGTAGTACATGGAGACATCGGAATCGCCGATCTGCACGGTGTCCTCGGTGTCCTCAATCACGTGGCACTGGGCAGCGCCTGACTGGGCGCGCGTGCTGTCGGCGCTCAGTACGGGGAGGCGGGAGGCCCACGTTGGGAGGACGCCAGGCGCGATGGTGGCACAGCAGGGGTGGCTGGCGTCACCGCCTGCTGCAGTGGGGCAACTGGCGGCGCAATGGGCATCCTGGGGGTGAACCACGCATCGAGGTGGGTCTGAACTTTCTGCTTCTCGTTGAGTCGGCGAACCAAGGGTATTGGCGGATCCTCCCGGTGCTGGGGGAATTGCTTGCCATTGAGCCTCCTGGGGACGTTGGCCCTGGCAGCATGCATGGCGGCCTCGGCAGCCTGGAGTGTCGCCTGGAAGCGGGCGAGATGTGTCTCCGACTCGCGCTGCGCCTCCTCGCCAACCGAGGGGTCGACATTATCGAACGGGCGGATCTGCTGGACCGCAGCCTCGAGCTGTTCGCCCAACGAGGCCATGCACAGTTCGGGAGTCGGTGCCTCGGATCCGACTGATGCTTCGAGCTCCGTCAGCTGCGTGGACAAGTTCTTCTCCGCCTCGACTGCTGCCGTTAGCGCTGTCTGAACAAGCGAAAATGCCTGCTCGGCCTGCTCGCGCCTCTTCCGAGAGCGCTCGAAGGCAGCGCGGGTGCTGTCGAGGCGGTGGCCAGTGGGCCGCAGCGCTTGTAGCTCGGCGCGTTTCTCCGCCAAGCGCTCCTCCAGCTCGGCCTTGGCTGATGTCATCAGAGGAGACGTCATGGAGGCCAAGACTGTCTCCAGCTGCCGGATGT